GAGCATTTGAGTAGGGGACGTGGTGCTCTCTGTGCCCCCAGCAATGTGCCAGCATCACCCACCCCTGCAGGGCCTGAAGAGGACACGAGGTGGAGGAAGGAGGGCTTCACCCCTTCTTCCTGCCTCACTGCTAAGGCTGGGACCTCCCATCTCCTCTTCTGCCCCTGGACGGGGAGTGACACCAGGGCTCTCCTGGTTGTGGTGGGTTCAGTCTCAGTGTGCAATCCAGCCTGGCTTTCCTGGACGACCCTTGAGTCCCATGACCCAATCTGCACAGTTAATCCCCATATGTATGCACGTGTCTCCCAACAGTTCTGCTTCTCTGGAGAGCCCCAGCTAGTGCAGTGTGTGACCTGCAGCCACGGGCTTCCAGTGAAGGCGGCGCATCCCCTGACACCCCCAGAGTCTCACCTAGACGGGCACCTGCTGTGCCTGTGCCTGTGGACACACATGGATGCAGTGTCCCCACCCAGCCGCCGTCCCTCGTCCCTCAGCCCAGCATTTTCTGCGGTTTCAGTTCTGAATGGCTGTGGGAAGTGTCTCTGGCTTCAGACTGGTTCCCCTGCCCACCCCCTGCTGCTGTGCCCCTCAAGGTGATACAGGACATGTCCCTGCCATTATCTGGGACCTACCAGGGTTCCTCACTGCCTGTGGCTTGGTCGTGCAATCTCTTTGGCCAGTGGAAGGGAGTGAGCACACCGCCTCTGAGCACAGCTGAGCAGGAGTTCACAGAGGGACCTGCGTGGCTGGTGTCAGCTCCTTGGGCTCCCGTGCACTTTGCCAGGAGGAGATGCCCCTGGTGGGGCCACTCCTTTCACCAGGGCCCAGAGTGTAACCCAGAAGGTGGGGACCTGACATTCCCCCTCTGCCTGAAGCCAAACGCTGCTGAGCCCAGAGGCCTCTGCACTGCCCTGGCCCTCATGCTCCGTGAGTGAGAAAGAAGTCTCTGTCCTGAGTGGTCGAGATGCTGGGTTTGCCTGTTTCCAGAGCAAAAGCTGACTCAGTAGGCAGGGTGATGATCAAGGGGGCATTGAGCTGGCTCCAAAGCAGCCTTCCCCGGGTCAGGAAGGACTGTCGGCATGTGGCTGGCTACACAGGGTGCACTGGTTCCCTTCCAGTTCCTGGGTGTGAGGGGCCAGGTGATTGATTATACTGCCTTATGCACTTGTCACGTGTGTTCTGTTCTTGTTCTTCACTGGCCGGCAGCAGTGAAACATGAAATCAAAAGTGAAATTCCTAGACTTTAAGACAACGCCCTGCAGCAGGGGAACAAAAACACTTTGACTGTGGCTTCACGATGATATTCAAGGTAAGGGCCTCCTGATATTTCAGGGGAAATCCACAGGGGCTGCCTCCCCATGAGAAGGACTCAGTCCGGTTTCCTACAATGGGGAAGTGTGAGTGCCAGGTTTTATTTCAAAAGTTGCATAAAAATTCTGTTCTTATGCAAAATCAGTTTCCATGAGAGATTAGGAGTTCGTGGTGGAGGGGCTATGTCCTTTCTGTGTCCAGAGAGCTGTCCTGGGTCTCCTGTTGAGGAGGGGAGGCTCTGGGAGAGACGTGGGCATCCCAGGGAGGGGTCTCTGAGTCAGGCTGGGGCCATCAGGGCAGCCCCTCAGGCCTCGGGTGTGGGGGGAGAGACACGGATGTGAGGGCAGCAGGGGTCAGGGAAGGAGGGGGAGGGAGGCCGGTCAGGAAGGTCCTGCAGCTCCCCGCAGGGGTGTCCTGCACCCAGAGTCCAGAGGAAGATCACGGCCAGAGGTCCCCATGGGAGGCCTCCGTGGTCCTGGGCTGGATGTGGAGTGGCAGGGACAGGATGTAGAGCCAGTCAGGGGACCGTGGGGGTCACTGAGGCAGGGACATGGCTGCCTGACCAAGTCAGTGCCAGGAAATGGACCAGGAAGGGACCAGGAGGAACGTTGGGAGTCTGTGCTGCTTGGCTGTGCTCACTGGGAGGACATTGTCAGGAGGAGGGCAAAGGTCGGCTGACCCTGGTCAATGGCTGCCCAAAGCAGGGTGGGCTGCTGGCCACACGGAGGAGCCCCCTGGAGAGGGGGTGGGTGTGAGGCACAGCAGGTGTATTCAGCAGCCGACAGCTGAGGACGTGGGGACTCGGGTCCCAAAGGCCATCTAAGCTCCTGAGGCGACTGCGGGACTGGACACGAAGCAGCTGTGACAAAGGACGCGCAGGGGCCGCTGTGTGCGGGTCAGCCCGTCCCCCCCAGGGCCCCTGGGCAGCGCGTTCTCCGTGGGCTGGCGGGCAGAGGGGACCGCAGCGGGATGGCAGAGGAACCGCTGGGACCTGCCCTCTGTGGGCCGTGCTGCTGCCTTTGGGGTCAGAGTCAGTTGCTCAAGGCCAGTTCCCGGGAATTCTTAGGGAAGCGCACAGTTAGGCCGGGGGAGAGTTAATGGTTGGCTCTCTAAGAGGGGGTGACGGTTGCTGGACACTAGGACGGGCAGCTGGGATGCAGGTGGAGGGGTTTGTGTCCTCTGAGGACAGGCACAAGCAGGGAAAGTGAGAAACTCCCCAGTAATGAGCCAGGTGCCTGGGGAGGCCCTGGAGACCTGGGCAGGAAGGGAGGAGGGAGGAAGAACCTGGGACTTTTCCTTGGGGAGGAGCTAAGGGACAGGAAGCTGGGGGAGGAGCTAAGGGACAGGAAGCTGGGCAGGTTCAGGAAAGACTAACCCCAGCAGCACAGCCGACACCCTGCAGTGGACAGAGACCCAGTCTGGGAATTCAGTTGTAATCTCAGTCCACCAAAGAATGATCTAGGGCGGAGATCTCCCCCATGCCCACCCAAACCCCACCTTCTGGGCTCAGCTGCCCCATCTGACCCTGGACAGCCACCCTGTGTCCCACCTTTGCCCATGATGACCCCAAAATGCAGGGGCTCCAGGGTCTGACAGCGGGAATTATTTCCCATAAAATAGCAACAATCTCAGCTACTTGAGGGACCCTTTTACCTTGGAAGGTTCTAGGTATAAAAAGAATCTTCTTTAACAACACAATGGAAAAGCACCGCATACTCAGTGCAGAAGGCCCAGCTTCTCCTCTGAGCTCCCAGGACTCACTGACTCCGACTCCTTCATCCTGCCCCCCCTTTACCCAGGAGGCCGCTCCCACCCCACCCTCGCTAAGGCCCCTGGGAAGAAGCAAACCGCCCTCCCCTCAGAGCCCTGGTACCCTCTTCTTGCTCTTTTATGGCTCTTACCCCTCTGCTGTGAGTGACACTCCTCTGGTCTGCACCTGTCCCCTCCCAGCTTGTGCCTGTCAGGGTGCTGCTCTCAGCCTCGGGTACCGAGTGGAC